CTGAAACTGCAGTCTTAATGTAGTACTTATTGTCAGGACCCGCTTCAATACCTCATCCCAAGAAAACAGAACTCATGGAAGTAAGCTCTTCCAAAAGGAACTTTTATTAGGAGAGGCTGATAGCAGGCATACTAGACAGGATCTGAGGTTTTCCTGCTCAGATCGGTAATTTAAAGTGTCCCCAAGCAAACCTCAGAGAAAGAAGAGCAAGGGAAGTATGAAATCAGACAGATATGGGTTCTGACATCCTGCCCCCCCTTAAAAATAAGAGACATTAATCTGTTGAGAGACAAAACAAATAACGAGAGATTAGTCTGGTTTGTTCTGGTAGTCTGTGTGAAACTTCCTTAATAGTTTGGGGGCTCTAATGTAACGTTTGTGCACCCATTCGTTTTGGGAGGAGGGAAGGTACTTCCACGCTACTAAGTATTGGGTCACCCCGTGGTATTTCCGGGAGTCAAGGATTTCTTTTATTTCAAAATGCTGCTCCCCCTCAACCATAATGGGAGGAGGCGATGGGGCAATATCTGGTCGTAAAGGTGATTGCTGCTCTCGTTTTAGCAAGCTGCAGTGGAAGATGGGGTGAATCTGCCTGAGGGTTTTTGGTAAATCTAACTCTACTGTTACTGGGTTTATGATTCTTTTGTTAGGGAACGGTCCCACATATTTTGGTCCTAATTTCTTGGATGGTTGCAGGATTTCAGGTATTTTGTGGATAAGTAAACCATTTCCCCTATGACAAATGGTTTTGGCTCGACTCTTTTCTTATGTGCTTGCACTTTATAAGCCTGTCTGGCTTCATCTAGTGCTTTTCTAACTACCAGCCAGGTGTTTTTCAATTGCGCGATCCACTCCTTCAAGGAGGGAATGGCTGGCTCGGTGGCACTTAATTCTGGCATGGGGTTGAAGCTTTGGCCTGTAGCTACTTGGAATGGGGTGTAGCCTGTGCTGGAATGGACCACGTTGTTGTATGCCACTTCTGCTAAAGGGAGCAGGTCGGTCCAGTTCGTCTGCTGGAAATTTATAAAGCATCTTAAATATTGTTCGAACGTTCTGTCCCCCCATTCGTCTGAGGATGATGACTAGATGACAGCCCCTGGGTGGTCCCCAGAAGGGATAGGAACTCCTTCCAAAAGTCCGATGTGAATTGCACCCCCCTGTCTGATATTACGTGTTGGGATGCCCCATGCAGTCTATATATGTGCTGGACAAACAGTTTTGCTAAGGCTTTAGCAGTGGGGATTTTTGGACAAGGGATGAAGTGCACTTGTTTTGAGAATAAGTCCGTGACCACCCAGATCGCTGTGTTTCCATTACTTTCTGGTAGTACTATTATGAAGTCCATGGAGATTTTCCGCCAGGGAGTCCAGGGGCTTTCCCTTGCAGTCTCTTAGCAGCTGTGCAGGCTGGCCACATAGCTCTCAATGTCCTTTTTCATAGATGGCCACCAGAACTGTCTTTTTACTAGATGCAGCGTTACAATGAACCCAAAGTGACCTGCCGGTTTTGTATCATGGCAGAGTTGCATGAACGTAATCCTCTGAGTTTTTGGGATGTACAGCTTCTCCCCTACCCATGGCAAGCTGTCAATGATCGTGCATAAGTTTTTGTGGCTCTGAAACCATTCATCGGTTTCTAGAGTCTTCCTAAATTCGATCCCTGCTTGGCTGGCCATTGGCTGCTTCAGCTTTGCTTGAGCTCTTGTGCTTACTTGCGCTGCCAGCTGTGCTTCCGGCATGAGCGATTTGGAGATAGTTGGCCGGGAGCTATTGTACTGGGGCATGCAGGATAGGGTATCTGCCAGGAAATTCTTTCCCCCTGGTAGATGCTTGATTCTGAATGTAAACCGGTGGAAGCACTGTGACCATCAGGCTTGTTTGGGGGTGAGTTTTCTGGGCGTTTTTAGGGCTTCCAAATTCTTATGGTCCGTCCAGACCTGGAATGGGATTTTATTCCCTTCCAGGAAGTGCCGCCAGGTGAGGAGTGCCCATCTCACAGCGTACACCTCTTTTTCCCACACCGCCCAACGTTGCTCCGTGTTGGAGAGTTTTCTGGATGTGTAGGCACAGGGTTGCAATTGTCCCTTGTTGTTTTCCTGTAGCAACACCGCTCCTACTGCTACGTCACTTGCATCCACTTGGATTACAAATGGCCTATCTGGGTCGGGGTGTTTTAAGACTGGTTCAGCCGAAAAAAGTCTTTTTAGTCTTTTGAATGTGGCTTGAGATTCCATCATCCAGGTTAGTGGTTGACTAGGTTTTACTAAGCCTCTCCCTTTCATCTTTAATAAGTTTGTGATAGGTAGGGCTATCTGGGCAAAAGAAGGGATGAACTGGCGGTAGAAGTTAGTGAATCCCAGGAAGCTTTGAAGTTGCTTTCTCATGTGGGGTGGCACCCACTCTAGCACTGCTTGGACCTTTTTGGGTCCATCTCTATGCCTTTGGTTGATATGTGGTAACTCAGATAGTCAATTCTCTGTTTGTGAAACTCGCACTTTGACAGCTTTGCATATAGGTTGGCTGCCCTCAGTTTTTTCAAAATTGCTCTGACTAATTTTATGTGCTCCTCTTCAGTCTCCGTAAATATAAGGATGTCATCCAGATAGACGAGGACTCCTTTGTATAGGTGCTCCCTCAGCACCTCATTGATCAGCTGCATGAAAACCACGGGGGCTCCCTGCAACCCAAACAGCAAGACCTTAAATTAGTAGCATCCCATAGGGCAGTTGAATGCGGTCTTCCACTCGTCCCCCTCCTTAATTCTAATGCGATACTAGGCTTCCCTTAAGTCCAGTTTTGTGAAGATTTTGCCCTTCGATAGGTGGGACAGCATATCTTTCATAAGGGCAAGACCTTAAAGAGTACAGGTTGCTCTCGCTTATGGCGTTTAAGATGCGATAATCCACACATTCACAACATGCCGTCTTTCTTTTCCTTAAACAGGACTAGGGCCGCTACCTTTTTTGGGTAAGCTGGTTCAATGAAGCCCCTCTCCAAATTCTTATCTACAATTTTTTTCATTTCTCATAGTTCCTTCGGGCTCATGGAGTACAATCTAGGCTTTGGGAGCTTCACTCCCGGCTTGATTTCTATCGCACAGTCTGTGGGTTGGTTGGGGGGGGTAGCTCGTCCGAACGCTCCTCGCTGCTTTTCCCTCGACCACTGCTGCTTTTTCCAGAGGGGAATTCTCGGGAATCCCATGGGGTGGTGATCCTGTTCAATCCCCTTTTGGGAACCTGAGTTCTGCTGTCCTCCAGTCCACTCAGGGGTTCCATTTCTTTAGCCATGCCAACCCCAGTATTATTGGGCATTCCATGCCTGGGGTCACCACAAACGTTATAGTCTCCTCGTGGTTCCCCAGGGTAAGGTAGTGTGGCTAGAGTAGCTGGCATTCCCCCTTCTATGGATCCATCTAGTTGACCGAAGGATATCGGTTTCTTCAGCCTCCTCACTGGAATGCCCAGGATCCCCACCAACATTGGGCTAATAAGGCAACGCGTGCAGCCAGAGTCTAATAGGGCTCTAACCTTTACAGCTTTGGGCATGGAAGGGGCTAAGATAGTCACTGTCCAGATGGGGGGCGCAATGGGTCCACTTACCAGGGGCTCGTCTTCGGAGTTGGCGTCTGACGAGTTGAACGCTCCCGCAGTGTAGGCTGGGGTTCCCTCCCCCCGTTAGGCAGAGGGGAGGAACTCAATGGCTTCAGTACCCTTCATGGCTGGTTCTCGCAGCTTGGCAGGTGACTTTCCCGCCCTCCCGGCTGGCATCCGGTTGGCCTTCTCCTGGGGGTTCCTCAAGCAGCATTCTGCGGTGTGATGCCCCTCTTTCCCACACTTGAAACAGCTGGTGGTCTTCTTGGCTGTGGGTTGGTGCCTTGCGGCCTCGCGCAATGGCTCAGGGGGTGATTGGCTCCATGACTTCCCTCTGCAATGTTTCTTGAGCAAGTGAATCTTGGCTTCCTCTGCCAGGAGGTACCAATCGTGCAATTGGTGTGGGTTTCCACGGGGAAGGCAGGCACCATAGAGGTTGTATTTCAGTCCATCCTTGAAATGGCTAAGCAGGATGTCTTCTGGCCAATTCAGCTTGCTAGCTATGACTCTGAATTCCTGGGTGTACTCAGCCACTGGGTGCCTGCCTTGCTTCACCGTCTTAATCTTCTCACGAGCCTTCTGCTAACGAGTCTGCTAACGGGTCCTCAAATCGTCGTCTAAGGGAGAACATGAATTTGTTGAAGTTTTGGAGCTCGGGGGCATCGGAGTCGTGTAGGTCCAGCACCCAGTCAGCTGCCACGCCATCCAGGGCTGCCTGTACGATGCGGATCCGAGCCTTGTCGGTCGGGATATCTCGGCCATATTCTCCACATAGTTGAAGACCTGGGTTAAGAAGAACCCCAGGCATCGTGGCTCTCCCTGAAACTTCATGTCCAGCTGTGGGAACTTCTGGATGGATCGATGTCTGCGTTGTCGTCTGTTGTGTCATCCATCCTGATCATCAGCTACCACGCAGCAGGGAGTGGGGGCTGCCACTGCGACGGCTGCAGTCTTGGCTGCTCCACCTGACATCCCTGGGACTTCGGCTTCGGACTCCTCCCCGGTGTCTCTTTTGCTGCGGCTCAAGGTAACGTTGCAGCTGTGGGGTTCAGGCTTTTTATCTTTGAGGGAGACAAGGGTTGATTTCATCAGATCGATCGCCTTCTCCAGGATCCAGTTTGACTGCTCCCCGTGATTGTCCTCATCTTTGCTGAGGTGCAGGGATCTCTCCATCTCTTCCTTCCATCTCGGTTGGTGGCTGCCTCGCCTCAGTGTCACCTTTCTCGATTTCTTTTCCCACTCGTCCTTCTTTCCTACATCCATGGATCAGCAGGGCTTATGGCTGCGCATCTCCACCACCTCTTCCTCTGAGGTATAAGATCTCTTAAAGCCGGACAGCTGGCAGGGTTCCGACCGGAGGGAGGGCTTCCTCTTCGTGGTGGCTTCCTCCTTCTCTGCACCAGTGTCCGACATGGTAGACTTTGCAGAATCCCCCGGCAAGGTCCGTCCTTCCGGGTTGACTACTATTGCAGATCCTGTCTAATGTCAGGACCCTACTATTGCAGATCCTGTCTAATGTCAATACCTCATCCCGGACTCCGGTTTGAATCCCGGTGCCGATGGCGGCTTTTCTCCGAGCCGCCCGCCCCTGCTGAACGAAGCCAGACGCGGATTCAACCTCTGCTTATGGGAGATCGTGAGTAAATTTTTATGGGCAGACAGAGCGATCCAGGTGCTTGGAAGCTGGAAGGATTTGAGCCTTTAGCTCTGAAGTTAGTAAGTCTTCTCCACTGATATTTTAAGTTTAAGAAGAAAGGAAAAAAAATGGCCGCGGAAGGGCGTTTTGCTCTTTGACAGAGACTTTCACTTTCTGGGGACTTTCAATTCTACTTTCACTTTCTGCTGGATTACTATTGTATCAGATTTGCTTGTATTGTTGGTGGGCAAGCCATTTGCTTCTGCTTCTGGTGGCAGTTTCTACAAAATTTTATTGGACATTATATTATATAAATAAAATTAGAGGGGAAGAGAAGAGAAAGTAAAATGGCTTCAAAGCGTGGGGGAACTTTTGCTCCTCAGAAAAGTTTGAGCTCTTCCCCAGCTGTCCAAACATCACAGCAGACAAAACCTACTCCCCCGCCCTCTCCTCCAATGCCAGCCTTAACATTGAAAGATATACAAGATGCCTTAAAGGACACAGCCAAACAGATTAGATGTGAAATGGATGAGCTGCTTGAAAAGAAACTTGAGGAGAAACTTGAAGAAAAAAATGTTGAAATGAGAGATGATATAGTGTTTGCAATGCAAGGTTTGGCTTGCCACGTAGATCGCATTGCAGGGCGGGTGGAAGAAGTGGAGGAACACGTTGAAGTTTTGGAAATCAGAATGGGGAAAGTGGAAGAGATTACTGATATAAATCAGAATGAGATTCTTATGTCACAATTTAGAGAAATGGAACATGCGTTGAGAATAAGAGGACTTAGGGAAAATGCCCAAGAAAAATTGGAGGAGGAAATTGCAGCAGAATTGGCCTTGGTTCTGTCCTGCCAACCTGATGAAATCATGAGAGAAATGGAAATTTTTTTTAGAGTTAACTCATGGTTTGCGAGACAGAGAAACCTTCCAAGAGATGTTGTTATTTACTTTTCAAGAAAATCAATCTGCAATGAAATTATCCAAGCTTTTTACAAACAGAGATTTCAAATTCTAGAACAAGATGTGATAATTTTAAAAGAAATACCACCCAAGATACTTAGAAGAAGAAAAGATTTTGCTTTTTTGGCTGAAGAATTGAAAGTGAGACAAATACAATTCAGATGGGATATACCAGCTGGTATAATGGTTAATTATATGGGCGTACGTTATCGGCTTAATACGGTGGCAAAAGCAAAAGATTTTTACAGTTCAATTTTGAAAGCAGGTTCATCAGAGTCTCCACAAGGTATTAGGAAGGAAAGAATTCCAGAAGATAAAGACACTCAAGGAGCTACATCATCATCAAGCGTTACTAATTTACAAGATCAAGTTCAAGCTGAGTTACAACTTTTGGAAATTAAAGATGATCCAAAATCACAGAGATTGACCCGTGCAGCTCACAGATGTAAAGAAAGAGAGCAACGAAAAATGGATGCAGTACCTATAGAACAGCAAGTAACTTCAGAGTCAGTGGGAGGAGCGAGACCGAAGAGATCAGTGATGGCTGATTTGCAAGGGGCGTTCCTGAGGCTCTCTGCCACTAAAGATGGCAAGGTTCCTGACATGGAATGTTAATGGCTTGAATTCACCGCAGAAAAGAAAAAAGGTATTTTATTATTTGAAGCAACATAAAATGATGTTGTTTGCTTGCAAGAAACTCATATTACAGCAAAAGATCAAAAAGTATTTGATTAATTCACGGTTGGGAATACATTTTATTGCATCTGCGCCTCAGAAAAAAGGTGGAGTAGTTATTTATGTTAAGAAGGAGTTTTTGCCTAAATTGATTGATTCTGACCCAGAAGGAAGATATGTTTTTGTTGAAATGCTTTTGAATGGGAAGAAATGTCTTATCATTGGATTATATGCTCCAAATCAACAGCAGAAACAGTTTTATAAATTGATACATCGGAAACTAAATCAAATGGATTATAAATCAGTTATTATGATGGGAGACTGGAACGGTGTCTTAGATCCAAGAAAAGACAAGAAAGGTTCCTGTAAAGCTTTTAATTCAACATTGCCAAAAACTTTTTTTGATTTGAAGGAGGAACTGGAACTAGAAGACATATGGAGGGAACGGAATATGGATGAGAAAGACTATACCTTTTTTTCGGACAGGCACCAATCTTATTCGAGAATTGACTTTTTTTTTGATAACCAATGACTTTCTTTCCAGGGTGAAGAATGTTAAGATCTTTCCTAGGACATTGTCCGATCATAGTCCGGTGTGGATGGAATTATTTGGTGAAGATGGGAAGAGAAGAACTTGGAGATTGAATGAAAATTTATTTAGATATGATATAATGTGCAGAAGTGTAAGGATCAATTGAAAGAATTTTTTTTGTTAAATATGCAGAAAGGTACTCCTATTTCAATAGTCTGGGATGCTAGCAAAGCGTATATGAGAGGTATTTTGATTTCTATGAATAGTGGTCATAAGAGAAAGCAAGCACAAAAATGAAAAGAGTTAGAGGAGGAGATTAAATCGAAAGAACAGGCTTTTATTTTAAACCCGTTGGATAATAACTTAAAAGTATCTATAACTATGCTTAGGGAACAATTTAGTATGTTAATAGCAGACCAGACAGCAACTAGTTTAAGGTATATGAAATATAATACATTCT